AGGCAGTTGCAGCGGTTCTGGAGGTGAACAGTCTTCCCTGGGTTGGACATATGTGCTGGCTAATCATCTTCAATGAAGCTGCCACCTTAGCATGCCCTTTTCCTTGTCAGTCTCCATCAGCATCTGCAGACAATGGCTCCAAATTCGCCCTCAGCAAAGCAGTGGGGCTGACCCATGCTTGGCACTCAAAGCGTACAGAGAAGGCCAGCTGGCACCAGATTTAACCCCTTCACCACCACCTGCTCCCGCCCTACATTTTCCACAGGTTCCCTGTTAGTGAAGAGGCTGGAATCCATAATCCGAGGCTCAGGAATATACATGTGGAGGTCTTATCAGTGTGATTTCAAACATAAGTCCAGGATTAAGGCTGCACATTTGGCACAGGCCTTCATGTTTTGAATGGCATCCTTTGAATGGCATTGTTCCAGATCTTCTTGCCCTCTTATTCTAGGGCCAGGTTGCCTATTCTTTGGTGGTTTGGGATTCAGTTCCTTATCTCCAGGATCTAATAGTGTGGGGATGTGGTGGGCAAGCTAAGCCTCCCTACAAGAAAACAAGGGGGTAAAACAACCAGAGAAGATGGGAAGTGCTTTTTGACTTGGGAAAGATGCTTTTTTTTAATGCTGAAAAGGTACAGGGATGCATAGAGCTTGCTTAAAAGTGCCTGTCCAACTTTTTCACACTCACACACACACACATTTTTCATACCTTGAGAAGGGACAAGGTATGAATGGATACATATACATATACATATACTATATTCTTTTCTTTTCTATACTATATTCTTTCCCATGATATATATAAAGGACTCCTTGGCTATATATATTCTTTTTGGCAGCCAAGGAGTCCAAAGCGGGCTGAGAGTACCCCCAAAAAACACAGAAATAGCCTTGGTGGCCACATACTTTCCTCTGGGTCCCAACATCTGGGCGTGGGCCTTCTCCGTGGCTGCTCCCTGTCTCTGGAACTCCCTCCCACAGGAGTCTTTACTGGCCATATCTTTACTATCCTTCCACGAGCAGTGAAGACCTACCTTTTTCTTTAGGCAAGCTTTCCCTTCACGACTGGCTGCCTGAGTAGGGGTTTTAAAATGCATTGTTGTACCTTACTGCATTAAATGCATTTTGGTGTTGCTTATAGTTTTTTTAGTTTTTTATTCATTGGTCCTTTTAGTATCATATAGTCATTGTTACTAACTTAAATACTGTATTTGGATTTCTGTAAGCCACCTTGGATCCTTTTAAAGCAGAACGGCAGGTTAAAAATCTTAAATAACAAACAAACAAACAAACATGCATCATTATGATCCTCACCCCTCCTACAGACCCTGACAGTCCACATGATGCCCAGAGGAAGGGAAGATGTTTTGCCTCTCCCCCCCTTTTCCCACAACTTGGAGGTGTGGAACAAGGGGTTGCCCCCTCCACACCCACCCACCCCTGGGCTGATCCAAGGAAATTTGCTTCCTGATGCCAAGGACAAGAAGCCATTTGTAAAAGCCAACAGATTCTTGCACACCTTCAAAGTGTCAGAATTTCCACAGGAAAGAACAATCACTCTCTTTTCTGATCAGAACAGGCAAGGTTGGTAGTTCTTACCAAAGATTCCTGAGGTTGTGCTTTGCTTGGGTTCATCTTTTTGTGGGCCTGTGCTATTCTCTTCCGTGCATGGAAAGGATCAGGACTCACTGAGCAAAGGACATCAAGTCTTTCTCTTAGGGTTAGACCCATTCCATTATGCTGTGGAAGGTCCAAAGCCGGAGCAGCACAGCATGCCCTGCATCATATCTCTGCAAGAAAAATGGACAGGCTCTTCCACGTTCACTTCTGGATCCTGGAAAAGCAATCTGCTTAGGCCAATGGGGAATCCTCAGACCCCTGCCCCCTGCATTCAGGAGACGGAGTGCACTCTGTAATGGAATGAAGGCATTAAAAGAGACATCTCTGCCAATATTTGTCTGACAACAGCAGCCCCACATTAATGGTGACCTCTAGAGAACCTGCTTGATGCTTTGTACAGGCTCCTAGGCATGGCTAGAAATCATTCCTAACATAAACAGGTCAGTTATGCAGTTCTTTGGCTGGAAAAGCAGTGCGCGCACACACAAACCCACTGCGCATGCATTTACATCATTTTTATTAAGGACTTGGATGAGAGGGTGCCGGGAATTCTTATGCACCTTGCAGATGACACAAAATTGGGTGCAATAGTTAATGCCCTGGAAGACAAAAACACAATTCAAAAGATCCTGATAGGCTCCAGCACTGGGTTGAAAACAACAGGATGAAATTTAACAGGGAAAAGTGCAAAATTCTTCACACGGGTGGGAGGAAACCAGATGCACAGTTACAAGATGGGGGATATTTAGTGAAAAGGATCTTGGAATAATTGTAGACCAGCAGCTAACTGGGTAGCTCAGTGGCTGCAGAGCCAGAAATTGGGAGTCTGATTCCTCACTGTGCTTTTCAAGAGAAGAGCCAGCCTTTGTAGCCTTGGGCAAACCACACAGTCCCAGGATGCCCCCAGAAGTAAGGGATGGGAAACCACTTCAGAGCATTTTATGCCTAGACAACCCTGAAAAGAGTGCCATAATCCAGAATTGACTTGACAGCATTATGATATCATTATTCTTGGAAGCTGAATACAGTGGTGCCCCACATAGCAACGATAATCCATTCCAAAAAAATTGTCGCTATCTGGATTCGTTGCTATGCGGGACAAAAAACCCCATAGGAATGCATTAAAACACGTTTAATGCGTTCCTATGTGCTGTAAACTCACCGCTATGCGGAAATCCTCCATGCGGCCGCCATTTTCGCTGCCGGGTAAGTGAGTAAAGGGCGCGAAAATGCTGCAGGCGGCCATTTTTTCCGGTGGCCATTTTGGAACCGCCGATCAGCTGTTCCCAAAACATTGCTATGTGAAAATCGGTAAGCGAAACGCTTACCGATCATCGTAAAGTGATTTTTTGCCATTGTGAACATCGCAATGCGATCACTTTTGCGATTGCAAAAAACGTGTTGCTATGCGGATTTGTCGTTAACCGAGGCGCTCACTATGCGGGGCACCACTGTATAAGCCAGTAGTGTGGTGCAGCTGCAAAAAAAGCAAATGCTATTTTAGGCTGCACTAACAGAAGTATATTCTCCAAATCTTCTGAATTACTAGTTCTCTAGTCATTTACTGCTGAGTGCCTTAGTTTTTCTGTGCCGTATGGTGCAGATCCAAGATATTGTGTTGCCTGAGGCAAAGAATAAGATGCCACCAGGTCCCCATTCCATGTGCAAAAGCCAGCTGGGCTGGCACATAAAACTTCCTTTCACTCTAATGACGCAACAGTATCCTTCCACCACATTCAGAAGCAGAAGGTGTGCGTAGGGGCCCCAAATCAAGCTAAACAGCATGTCTTTCTTCTCTCCTCTCAGAGCTCGCTGCTTCCTCCCAGATTCTGCTGCCTGAGGATGCCTTGTTCTGTTTAATGGCATGGGAGGCCCTCATGGCCTGGCCTCTGAGCTGGACCAAACCACCTTTGAATTTCCCATAATGGTCTCCAGTTTTTTCTTGTTCCAGACAACTGTGGGAAATCTGAGAGAGTGGGGAGATGCGGCCTCAGTGTTAGACTTAGGGAGCTAGTCACAATGGACCGGAATGTACCACTCCATCTCCTCTGGGGGAACGATGCAGGGCTCCAGGGGAGGACATGGCCGAGACCCCTGCCAGTGTCCCCTCAAAGAGGCGAATCACATATACCTGAAAGTAAGGCATGTGACAGCTGTGATTGCAACCAAGGCCAGACATGTGATTATCACACATCCCACCACCGGGGGGAGAGGGGATAACAACAGAAGCAGCCACATGCATCCTACCGGAAGTCATTTCTGTATTAACCTGGCTATCTCTTCTGTGTCTAACTCAGAGCGATCGTCGGAGCGGAGGGCATTATTTTCTGGTACCTTCTCTACAAAGACGACTCTGAGACACGGAAGAGATGCCTAGGGTGATGCAGAGATGGCTTTTTTTGGAGGGCTGTCTCCTCCTTCTACAAGAAGATTGGGAGGGGGGGGCTGTGCACAACATATGGCACACAGCCTTGATCAGCCTTAAGTCATTCAGTGGGTTTTCTCCCCTCCAGTGCCCCCCCCAGGAAACTGCCTTTTCCTTCTCCTCTCCCTCTTTTTTTAACCAGTATTGGGGAAAGGATGTGGAAGTGCTTTGCCTCCCTTTAGTGGGAGGTACTTCTTCTCTGGCATAGGTGGCACAGCAGGACAAGTGGCTGGTAATGTGGGGAACCCGTAGCATCTCTCACTCCCATGCAACATCCACTTCGCTTCCCACCTTGGGTGGCAAACGCTCTGGGTCCATCCTGGAGACCCAGCCACCTGTCCTTTCCTGGACCAGAGGCAGACATCTTGTCTCAAGGCAATGGCACAATAGGGAAACCCTTGAGAACGTGTAGTTTTCATGTCAGAGTGCATGGTGGTGGAGAGAGAGTCTGGAGAAAATGGTAGCTCACACAGTTATTTAGAGGGGTGCTTCCCTGTCTTGGCTCCCCAGATGTTCTTGGACTAAAACTCCCAGATGCCTTCACCGCTAGCTGTGCTGGTCAGGATTTCTGGGAGTTGTAGTTCAAGAACATCTGAGGACCCAAGATTAAGAATCACCGATTGAGGCCATTGAGGTTGGTCTCTATAAAAGTATCACCCAACTGAGAATTGTGGATCCTCCACCCCCAGTTTAGGACTCATGGTGGCTGCCTTTTCATTTTGCATGATGTGACAGACTTGGGTGTAACACCATGCAATTGATGAAATCGGCCTCAGAGTTATTAGCTCCTTGGAGACCTTTCTGTAAGTTCTCTGTTGAGAGATGAGGTCTTGGAAATTCTTCTAATTTCTGCCAAGCGCTAGATCCAAGCTTCCCAATTCAGTAAGTTGGCCCTCATTGCCCCTCTTTTGACATGCTGACTCAGTATTCCCAACCCACCTTTTCTTTATCTTCAGGTTTCCCCACCAGGTGGCCCTCCTGAGCAACCAAAGTGGGAGACTTCCTACTTGTTTCAAGGAAGGGATGGGGCTACAGCTTTCTCAGACGATGCTGCCCTGGTGATTGAATACTACAAATCAGGTAAGCTCATTTCCTCGGCAAGTAACGAGGAGGTGAATATCTTGTTCCATGTATTCTCAGGGCTTGGGAACCTTAACATTTGAACTATAACCACCAGTTCTCACAAATCAATGTGACCATTAGGATTCTGGAAGTTACGTATAGTGCATCCTAAATATAGGAATAGCTATAGAAATACTACAAAACTCTTGCCAGTAATGTCAGGTGAAGAAATCATTGCACTGAAAGGAATTATGGATGATTTCCGGATTTTGGAAGTAACTAGTTGTTAATTAGTTACTTGTAATCAATTCCTTTCCTTGACTAATTTATGTAATTACATTACTATTGTAATTTGTTGAGGAATTCGTTCACTCCTATTTTGGTACAACTCAAACTTTTAACTAATTTTATATTTAAGGGGTTATGGCCTCACTAAATGGTGAGGAAATACCACATTGTTCAAGCGCTAATTCCAGCTGCATATTAAATGAAAAACATCTAGAATGTTTGAGAGTAAGTGAACAGTGATGACCAGTGGATTTTGGAAGTACTGTAACTAGTTGTTAATTAGTTACTTGTAATCAATTCCTTTCCTTGACTAATTTATGTAATTACATTACTATTGTAATTTGTTGAGGAATTCGTTCACTCCTATTTTGGTACAACTCAAACTTTTAACTAATTTTATATTTAAGGGGTTATGGCCTTACTAAATGGTGAAGAAATACCACATTCTTCAAGCGCTAATTCCAGCTGCATACTAAATGAAAAACATCTAGAAGGTTTGAGAGTAAGTGAACAGTGATGACCAGAATCCTATCGGTTAGTTACGCTAGCTAAAAGCAATGGCTAAAACGCAGAGGCAAATTGCTACTAGTTAATTCGTTGCTGATTTTATGCCTCATCGTGCACAAGTCATGTAAGTTGTTGCAAGATAATAGATACACGCGACAGCTTGTTAACTAGTAACAATTCACCACTACCATTTGTACTTGAGGACAAACCAATAGGATTCTGACTATTACAGTGGTGCCCTGCATAGCGACGATAATCCGTTCCGGAAAAATCATCGCTATCCGGAATCGTCGCTATCTGAAACAAAAAAGC